TCATTAAGTCAAGAACTTTCACCTTTTCACTGAAAGGAAGCACTTTATAACTTATTGTTGGCATATCTGAATTCCCAACCTCACTATTTCTGTACCTTGGAGTCATTATTGAGTAAAATAAGGGTTCCTTGAATACCAACATTTCACTACCTGAACAATCCATCTGATAACCAGTATAGCTACTAAGTAGCTAACAACAAACAGCAGGTCACATGTATAAGGTAGGTAGGCTGGACAGAAGGATGATACATATCCCAGGGGGTAATTGATCACAATAGCATAAAATTATACTACATGACTCAGAATACTGTGCAATTTAAAATTTATGAATTGTAATTTCTCAGATTTCCCCACTTAATATTTTTAGGCACTGGTTTCAGGACCATGGGTAACTCAATCTGTGGAAAGCAAAACCAAGATAAGGGCAGCTGCTGTGTAATAAGACACATAGCTTGCGTTTATATGTAGTTTATAGCTTATAACTTGGAAAGTTCCTCCTAATACATTTTATCCTCAGAAAATCCTATGATAAGCCAGGCATGGTAGGTAAGCTTATAGTCCTAGCGCCTGGGAGACTGAGACAGGAAGATCGAAGTTCAAGGTCATTTTCAGCTATGTAGTTTGAAACTAGCCTGAATCAACATCTCGCTTCTAATAAGTATGGACTACAGGGTTTCAGACTCAACAACAAAATGCTGCTTCCTAAACCACACTTTTAAAAAGAAACTGCACATGCTATTGATGTCGAGGAAATGAGCCTTTGTGAAGAGCATCTCCAGAAAAGTGAAGTCCACAAATTTTAATACTGTCTAGCATGAAGCCTAATCTCTGAGTGATTGTGCTGCACGGTAAACAGAGAAGACACTGGTGTGGATGTTCATCCATCCACCTCTGTCTAGAACTCCAGGCAGGCAGCTGGCCCCTATTGGTAGATACCAGCCAGATGCAGCGTAGATTCTGCATTGAATGTGCATGCGTGTGTGTGTGTGTGTGTGTGTGTGTGTGTGTTTTAGTGCTTCATTCCCATTCAGACATGAATGGTATAATGAAATGAGAGTTTAGGGATCGTGAAGAATGTGTGTGTGTGTGTGTTTTAGTGCTTCATTCCCATTCAGACATGAATGGTATGAAATGAGAGTTTAGGGATCGTGAAGAAGACATTAACTTTGGAATCAATCCCTTAGCAAATAGGGGGCACTTCAATGAAGAAAGTTGCTTACTCCAGACCTCCATGTCTTCTGCTGTACAAGAGAATCAGACTCTAACATACCACTGATGACACCATGGATTGATCACAGAGCAGAGCAGGCAAACCTAGTGACCTGTTACACTCTGTTTGCCTGTTGCCCCATGAGGCAGCATTGTGCTGACCAGCATTTTTCTGTCTCTGTTGTAATCTGAGTTTATAATTACACTTCTCTTATACCCCTTACAAATAGCAAATATATAGTATATAACTAGATAATCTATCAGTTGTTAAATTGCATTCCCTCAGTCTTTGAATATATTGTCTTAACCCCACCCCCAATTTTACCAAAATGAAAGCATTGATTCTAAAACAAATAGCATCAACGATGTTAAAAAAAAAAAGTAGTCCCTGCATGCCCCAGTCCTACTAGGTCACTGTGCAGTAAGGTAGACCCACTGCAGAGCTGATCCTGCAGCTGCTGGTGATGAAATTATGCATGTTGGTTCTGGTCTTTATATCCATTTCAAAGCAAATGGAACATTACAGGAACAATTATAAATAATTGAGATTGTAAGATCGCCAAGATTAAATCCTAGGTATGATATAAAGTATCTTTTAATGCCACTTTAGCCTTTTTCCATTTGGCAAACTGAACTTCTTGGCTGGCCACCTTGACTTTCACAATAATATTGTCCCACACATGGGCCAACCTTGAAGCTATTTTGCTGCTCAATTGGCCAAAAAAATAAAACAGCCTGCAGTGTAGAGACAGCCAAGCTGATGTTTGGGGCATCTCACTTTTTTCATAGTTCTTTTGCTTGGAGCGATTTTAGTCCTGTTTCTTTGAACTAGTCTACTAGTCTTAGGGCCTTCTTAACTGTCCAGCTCCTCTTTTCCATGGCAGCAGCATTCAGTGCTTCCGCCCAACTTCCCCGTCTGCCCAGCTGCTCCCCGAGGCCTCACCAGTTCTTCCTCAACATTACTGCGTTGGCCATTGGTGTGTGGTCAAGATAACCAGTTTAGTCCATCTCACATTGTAATGAAGGATAATTACTGTTGGGTGTTGTCAGTCCCCTCTGCAGCTCCGAGTCACTGGGTGGTACAGCGGGGTCTCTAGTTTTGCCTGGTCCCCAGATGACATCATCTTTTCCATCTTATGTATTATAAATTTCACTTCTCTTTGATTAATTACCTGTGTTTACTCATTCTGTACGTTTCTTCATCCTGGTGAAGGATTTCTGTTTATTTATAGAAGCGGGAGCCAAAAAGAGTGATTTCTTTATAGCATTTTCACTTTGGCCTTAAATTAAATTACTATAAACCAATATATCAGACACTAAGCCTTTATAAAGAGTTACTGTGGTAAGAATAAGAATTTATTGTGGTAAGAATTTACTGTATTTCCCAGTAAATACAGGCAAATAAGATTTGGTTGATTCCATGCAATATTATAATAATTAAATTAGAGAATTCCTCATTCTAGCTACACTGATATCTAAAACACAATATAATTGTTTCTTTTTTCTTTTTCTTTCTTTCTTCTTTTTTGAGACAGGGTCTCCCTGTGGCCCCAGCTGGCCTGGAACTCACTATGTAGACCAGGCTGGCCTCAAACTCACAGAGATCTGCCCGCCTCTGCCTCCCAAGTGCCAGGATTAAAGGTGTGCACCACCACACCAGGCTATGTTTTTGTTTCTTTAACATTTGCTTTTATTGTAGAACATTTCAAAAATATGGACATATGGAGAATAGTATGGTAAACCCATACATACCATCAATTTAGCTTCCACAATTGTTGAGACCATGTTGATATTATTTCATCTGTGCCCCAACTTACTAGTGCCTAACTTCCACTACTAAACCAAGTATATATCATTTTTTATTGATGAATGAAGCTATGAATGTTTTTAAAATGCAATCTCTCTATGAAGCACAACATTTAATCTATACTCAGATTTGTTCCCATTAGTCTTCTTTAAAATATTTTATTTGTTATTTTAATTTTATGTGTATGAGTGTCTTGCCTGCTTGCGTGCAAGTGCACCTGTGTCATGCATTGCCCACAGAGGTCAGAAAAGGGCTTCAGATCCCCTGGAATTGGAGTTGGACGGTTGTTAGCTGCCATGTGGGTGCTGGGATTCAAACCCAGGTCCTCTGCAAGAACAACCAATGCTCTTAACCTCTGGACCATCTCTCCAGCCCCCCATCAGTCTTTTGTAACTAATCACTTACTAGTTTAGTGAGTAACCACTCAGACTTTTTCTCTTCTATGCAAAAATATAAATATAAATATAAATGCACATATAGTTATGCTTTGTTTTATTTTAAAAGGAAGAATTAGTACAAGACTGCCTTCTTTACAAGTGATTTTTTATTATTTTAGATTATGTGTATGGGGGTAGTAGGTACACATGAGTACAGGTGCCCATAAAGGCCAGAGGCATTGGATCCCCTGGTGCTGGAGTTCCAGGTGGTTGTGAACCTCCAGATGTGGGTACTGGGAACTGAACTTGGGTCCTCTGCAAGAGCAGAATGGGCTCTTAACTGCTGAGCCATCACTCCAGCCCAAGACTGCCTTTTTCAGTTATAAAGTACAGAAATCTTTCTCTGACAAAACAGAGATGAGTTCATTCCCTTTAGCTGCTTCATATCAGGTGTATCAGAGAGAAAGAGGACCCAATCCAGTTCTGTAACCAACCCCTTCGATAGATATGTAGGTTTCCCCTTGTTTTTTCTGTCACAAGCAGCAGCACAAGCATTATTGTGCTTCACAGTCACATGGCTGTGGACTTCTATAGGATATGTATAGAAAAGAATTTACTAGATCCTGAATCTTTGGAGGAACCAAAAGGAACTTCTCTAGGAATGACTTCACCCTGCCATTTTGTATCTTGTTAGAGTACCTATGCTCAAATGCTAAGGAGAGCAGGCTTGAGGATCACACTAGGTGAGCAATTGCATTTCAGTTTAACGCTTGAGGAAAACAGAAAACAATGTGCTATTCAGAAAATCTAAAAAGCAAGTGACTGTTAGGATTCTGGACACTGAGAACCTTTACATATAGCTGACATCTCTAAAAGACATGAGAGAATCACTGAGAGGCTGTTGGTGGGCTACACATTCCAACAGAAGGCAGAAGAGATGGGTGGATAGCGGGGGTGTCAGCTGTACGTAAAGGGCAGTATAATAACAGTAATAATCCCTTACATTTGGACAATACTTAAAGTTTACATGTGACTTTTACATTCATTTTCTAATTTAAGCCACACAATTGCACTATACAAAAAATCTAAGCAGCCAAAAATAAAACAGAATTTATGTGGGAGGACATTGTGGAGTCTAAAATAACAAAAATGTGGGAATCCTAGGCAAGACTACTCACCGAACCAAAATGTTGAGACCCAGAAAGGTGCTGAAGTAGGCACACAGGTTGCAGGAGTGGACCATTTCCATCAGCCATGTGCTGATTAGCATCTCCCCAGGACTGTGGAATGTGTCACTGCCAAGCTAGCTATGTGTGAGCTGCCTAGAGAACTTGTGAATGTGCAAATTTCCTGATCTTACCCCCAGAGATTCTGAATTAGCGGGTTGGAGGTGGAGCCTAGAAATCCTGCATCTGAACAGGCTCTCCTAGTGATGCTGTTGTGTAACCAAGTTTGTAACCATTGTTCTGGGAAAGTCTCTGAGAATTGCAGCTACAGGATTTTGCTCAACAGGTCTAGTCAGGTGGGATTATTTAAAATGTGAGTCAGTGGACCTGGGTTGAAAAAAGGGTTCAGCCAATCTAATTGACTATTGACTACTAGATAATTGTTGTCAGAAAGTGGGAGCTCACTGCAAATGGAATAACATACAGCCTCATCTCTGAGCCTTACTTCTCTCCTTTGAAAACACTTCCACCAGTGTGATGGCTGTGACATTCTATCCCCTCTCTCTGCTGTCTCCATCCATCCTTCTCTTATGGTTGCCTACTGTGAGTAAGCACATAGTCTCTGACTGAATTTTTCTTCCTTTCTCAATCTAATTATCATGTTCCCAGGAGCCAAAAATGGAAGACATTGTGCATATATGTTGGCATGGGTAACTGTGATCTATTTTGGAGACATGCATGGATATACAAAATATGCATTCATACCTCAGTTTCCTACATACTGTTACTACTAGGAAAATTTTGAATCCTTAGTTGGTTCTTTCCTGGCATCTCTTTTTTCTTTCCTGGAAAAATGGATTTATGGACTAACCACAACTAAGCACTCAAAGTAACCCACAGAAATGTCCACCAATTCACCCACATCATACATGGCCTTTGGTTACCTCACTTTTGCTTTTCTTTAATGTTCTTATTGCCCCACCTTAACTATACGATCATGTTGGTTGTAAGTGTTGATGCTTGCCCTTGAAGCTGAAATGTTGCAAAGTAAAAAACAGACCAAAATGTTTATAGTTTGTGAGCCTGAGCCTTTAACAGCTAAATCATCTCTCTAGCCCATTTTGAAAAATAGAGAGAAAGCCAGGCGTGGTAGCACACGCCTGTAGTCCCAGCACTTGGGAGGCAGAGGCAGGCAGATCTCTGTGAGTTCAAGGCCAGCCTGGTCTACATAGTGAGTTCCAGGACAGCTGGGGCTACAGGAAGACCTTGCTTCAAAAAGACAAAAAAAAGAGAGAGAAAATGGATGTAAGAAGGAATTTATCCTGGGCTATCATGAAGACTGAGATTTCAAATTTTTCTATATCTGTAGTTTAGTAGATACTAAATCTGGTAATGCACTTAGGGATTTCTCTTACTAAATGGCTATAAATACACCTTGTCTAAAATGATAACTATTGAGGCTAGAGAGATGACTCACCAGTCAAGAGCACTGACTACTCTTACAGAGGACCTGGATTCAGGTCCCAGAAACCCCCCACCAACCATTCATAACTCCAGTTCCAAAGAATCCAGTGCCGTCTTCTGACCTCCATGGGCATTGTATGACATGAGTTCATTTACATATATATATATGTATATATATATTAC